GGGCATTGGGGATGGAGAAGGAGCATGTGATGCCCCCAGGGAGCCGGGCAAAGGAGAGGCTGGAAGAGTCCTCCTCATTTGCTCAGAGGATTATTGGCCATGCTCTGGCAGCCTCACTGGCCTCCCCCACCACGTGGTCTTTGTCTGCTCTGGACCCTTTAGGTATGTAGCATCCACCAGGTGACCCATCCCATGCTGCCCTGAGACACCTCTTGGGATGTTGAACATTTGAGTGGGTCTATCCTGGCTCCCCAACTCAAGTGTAGGCTCCTAGAGAGAAGGAAGCTTGTCTTCAACTCCATAGATGCTACCCTACAGTGCTCAGAGCGTATCAGTGGGTGGGCTGGGGTGGAATGGGCTTAGGGATGGATGGGGTTCATGGATGGATGGATAGATGGATGGACAGATGAGTGGATGTCATGATGATAGGTGCTATAAATATCAGTGTGCCTATACTGGTTGTTAAAATTTCTGTACCGGTTAGTTAATAGTCATCGTCCCAAGGCCATTGAACGCTCCACTCGCCCCCATCCTAGACGCTGCCCTGGGATTTGCTGGACCTCCCCAAGATTCAGCAACTAAACCTTAGCACCCAGCCCAGCAGGGGGCCCCAGGACCCTGCTCCATTGCTCTGACCAGCATCCATTCTTGTTGGTTTGTATATGGGCTCATTATTTTAACCAACCCCCTTGGGTGGGGAGAACAACAGAGGCCAAGACTGAATGTTGCGATTAGATGATTTTAGGAAAGAGAGAAGTGAAGGGAAACAGGGAGGGACAGAGATGCCAGACAGCCTGGCCGGCGGCTGGGTTTGGGTTCTTGGGCCATTCGGTTGAGTTACCTGAGCCTCAGTTTGCCCATCTCTCAAGTGGGGACACTGTCCGCCCTGTCTACCTTAGAGGGTGGCTGTGCCCTACCGGAACTTGTCCCTCTGTCCTCTGCTCATGATTCTTTGCTGTGTGCGCGCCCAGTTCAGCAGACAAGGAGCTCCTTGACAAAAGGATGTTACGGACAACACTTGTATACCCCAGCACGTGCTTGGTAGGTGTCTGTTGAGCACAGGGACGCAAGGGCAATGGAAGAGCGAATGACAGAAGAAGCCGACTCTGAAGAGTATAACGGGAGGGCGTTGCAGGTGGAGGCAGCTATGACAGGATGGACAGGGAAGGAGGGGCAGGAGGCTTCAGGGAGGCACTGCTGGGAACCAGAAGGGGTCTCCTTCCCTCCTTGGCCAACCCCTCACATGCCTCGGCGAGGCCCGCGCTTCAGGTGCACCAAGCCCGCGTATGTTGGCAGACAGTGGGCTCCAGATGGCACAGGGCGGATCCAAGTGTTAGAAACGCCACTTGAGCCAGCTTCCCAGGGTGCCAGACTGCAGTCTCTGGAAACTCCAGGTATGAAGCCCCAGGAAGCTCCAGGAAGGTTGCCCCCGAGGGGAGAAGGAGAAGTGTCCAAGGAGTGAGACAGGAAGCCGAAGGCCGGAGACGCTCAAACCCCACCCTCCATCCCAGAGTCACCCCCTTCAGCCTGTCCCTCCTCAGCAGGTGACCCTGCTGGCCACCCCTTCCCAGGCCTCTCCCCCAGGCCCAGGGCTCTTTCTCCAGATCCTGCAATTTCAAGACCCACCCCAGCCTCCTCCCAGCACAGGCCCATACAATTTAGCACTTAATTACTTCCCATCCTGTATGAGTCTCTCCTTGCTGGCAAGAGCGTGCATTGCACGCGAGGGTGATCCCCCATGACATCTGTCACCTTCCCACCGCCAGGGCCAATACGGCCGATCTGTCTGGCTAGGCTACCGTGCCTTCGTTCAGGGCTTCCGGCAAGTGGCAGGCTGGGAACAGCTCGCTGGGCCAAAGTGTGTGCAGCAGCAACCCCACCCCACCCCCCGCCAGAAACCACACGTGTGTGAACATGAATGTCAGAGCCAGACCCACCCAGGCTCCGATCCCAGCTCTGTCATTGGTTACCTGTGTGACTTTGGACAAGCTGGTGGACCGTTCTGGGTCTCACCCATTGGCCCTGCCCACCTTTAAAGGGTCGTTCAGAGGATTTGGCAAGAACCGGGGTGTGAAAGCTCTTTACACCGAAAGCAATACACAAATGCACGGGAGCGCTGTGGCTATTATTGGCATCATTTTTGTGATCGTTATTGGTTCAGGTGCAGCTGAGAAAGCAGGAAGGAGCCACGGCCGGATCTTATTAAGGCTCCGCAGCGGAGCAGAGTGATAATGTGCAGACTTCTAGGGGAGAAAAACCCTTGGCCATCTGTTTGTGTTATAGCAGAGCCTTCTGCGGCTACTCCGGCCCGCAGCGGCCCCTCTGAACCCGTCCTGAACCCCCTTCAGGACTGGGCACGGGCACCACTTTCCTTGGGCCGTGCTGCTCTCAGCCTCCTCCTTCTGGGCTCATCCCCCACACCCAGAGTGTAAATCGTCCCTGGCCCGCATGGCTTCCCCGCCCCATTTCTGGTGTATCTTTAGAGGATTGAGCCCAGGGAGGGGGGACAGTGCACGAAGGCAAAGAGAGAGAGAAGAGCGAGGGAGGTGAGGAGCAGAGGGAGACAGGCCCTTGGGATCCAATCCTGGATCTATCACTCTAATTTGAGTGGCCTTCACTAAGCTGCTCAACCTCTAAGTGCCTCAGTCTCCCCATCTGCTAATGAACCTTCTGGTACCTTCTACCAAGAGTCAGAGAACCAGAGACTCTCAGATCTCATTTCAGGGCAACCACCTCTTCCTCCACCAGACCCTCCACCAGACCCTGTCTACAGGGAGCCAGCCCCTTAATGTTCCATCTCTGGACCCCTGGGTCCTCCACGACCTCCCCACCACCACCACCACCGCCCCCACCCATATCCTCACCGGGCACCCCAGCTCCAAGCCTGTGTTTGTGAGCTCACCAGGAACCGCGGGACACGGGCCTTTCTCTCTGCCGTAATGAAACCCTTTAATCATATTCAAATAGGTTACTGTTCAGGGGGAAAATAGAAATATGGATTTGATAGCAATAAATTTCCCTGGCTGGCTAAGCCCAGTTCTTAATTGTCCTGTCCCAGGGCTCGCACATTTCATTGTTCGTTAGGTGCTTAAGTCCCCACTCTCATTTTGTGGCGGTGACATTACCGTTGATGGCTCTAATACTCTCATAATTTGAAAGGGGATTTGCATGATAGAACGCAGAGTATTAAAAGAAAAAGAAAAAAGGGAGAGAGAAAAATGGGGGGGCAAGATGGGAGGAGGAGCTCTGAACCGCCGGGGGATGGCACGGGGGCGGGGGCGGATGAGGAACTCAATCCAGCTTTCACTTTAAAAAAGTCACTTTCTTCAAAGTCAAATCATTGTTTTCATTAAAGTAAAAAAAAAAAAAAAAAAAAAAAAAAAAAAAGAAAGAAAAAAAGGAAGAAAGAAAAAAGCCGAGGCTGCACGTTGGGCTGACTGGGCACTGGTATTCTCCTTATTGTTCCTAATGGTTATTAATTATTATTATCCGGCTGTGCAGGGCTCTGTGGACGTGATGTCCCCAATGTCCTTGGGGTGGAGTTGGGGGTGGGGGGGGACATCAGGGGAGGGACTGACTCCAGATGGGGAGGTTTGCTCCTGGGCCACGGGAAGACGTGGATGTCTACCTGGAGGCAGATGCCAGGGGGAGCCAGGTTTGGGTAGGTGGAGGGGAGAGGGGACACTTTCCAAGAAAGAAGGCCTCAGTCAGAGGAATCCAAACCTCCTGGGTCCTGTCCAACTCTTCTTGAGTTTCCTAGAAGTTTCTTCTTTCCAAAAGCCAGTGATTTGGCCACAGCCATCGTGGCTGGACACGAGACAACCCTGATCACTGGTGGCGTCCTCCAGGTCCCTTTTGCAAACCGGATTCCCCGTCCTTCCCCTGCCCCCATACAGAACCAGAAGGCCTTGCAGAGGCTTGGCTGGATTCCCATAGGGCCTCTCCTGACTCCATCACTGGGCATTTAGGGTCAGTGAATGCTGTAGCCATGCTGCCCTTTGCGCCCACCTGGGAAAGTCTGAGGGTCCCACTGACATCTCCCCCCACGCCCCCACTTAACATCTCTCTACCAAGGGCCAGGAGTTCTAGATGTCACTGTGGACCTGGGTTTCCTGGGTTTGAGGGATAATCAACCCAGCTTTCGTTGAGGTTATGGGTTTAGAGACAGGAAGAGGTGTGTGACTCCTCCTTGGACAGACCATGTGACTGTGCCAGGGAGCGCTGGAGTGGGGGGACATTGACTGCTGGGTAGCGGGGATGTAGGGAAAGAGTGTTGCCCATGTGAGCTGATGAGGTCAGGTGCTTGGACTCTCACCCTCCTGCAAACCACACTCCTCCAGCCTCGTCACTTTGTCCTCCACACCCCACTGGCCAGTCCCTGGGACCCTCCCCCATGGGGGCGAGCTGCCCTGCAGAGAGCAGCTACAGAGTCAGGTGTTTTGGACTCTCACCCCTGCACATTTCCTGTTCCTGTCAGTTCTCAGCACCTCCGGGCCAAGACTTACCCCTCAGCTTCCCAGGGACTCTCTTCTAGATTAGAATTTTAAATCAAATAAATTCTGGGATTGGTATAAAAGCTGTCTGCAGAGAGCCTATTCACACTCCTTCTCCCCCTTTTGGCCTGATGGAATTTCGGGGGGGGGGGGGCTGCAAAAGCACATTCTCAAGGTCTCCTCCACCCCCTCGCCCCCTTTCCCTCACAGTTGATCCCCCGCACTCAGTCCTCCTCACTGAGCCCAGGACCACCATCACGGCTGGAGGATATCCAGTGCCTGAGGGATGGGTCTGGAATCAGCTTCCTCAGAGGGAGTGGCTGACCATTGCTCAGCCCTCTGCCACTAAGGATATCTAGATCATTCCCCCAGCGAAAGGGGCCGAAGTTGCAGGGTGAGGGAGAACGGAGTAAAGGGACAGGGGAACCTAGACCACCGCAGAAAAAAATGTGGCTACTAGACCATAGAACCCTAGGTGCCAACACATTTCTTACTGTTTTTAATTAGGAGGATCCAAGTACAGGATGGACAAGTGGCAGCCCAGTCCTCATCTGTTCCCCGCCCCTGCACACACCAGGAGTGATGGAATGTGGCAGACCCAGGCTCTCTGCTCCCCAGCCTGACTCCCAGATCCATAACATTTTCGACGTGAACAGTCTTCAGAGGTGCAGCCTGAAGCCGCAGGGAAATGAACTTGGTGCCCCCCTTGCCCCACCCCCAAGACCCCCAAGGAGAAGCTGTCTCCAGGAAAGGTGGGGGGGGGGAAAAGCCAGAGAGACAAAGTGATTCTTAAATATTTTCCTTCTCCGCAGTCACTCAGGGAGGAGGGGGTGAGGGGCGATGGAGGCTGGAAGGGGGGACAAAGGGGGTTTAATAGGCTCCGGTGACAGCACAGTGTCCACATTGGGAAAAGATTAATGACGAAAATTAATCGCCTGACCTTTCTTTCCAGGAGCTGGAGGTGAGGCGGGCCATTAAAGCCTCTTATGTTGTAATTAACGTTGGAGGGGAGAAGGAGCTGCCTTCAGAATGGATGTGATCATTTAATTAGGCTTAGGCGTAGGTGCCACAACAGGTCCGGAGAAGTCATAATTTAACTATAGCTTTAAATTACACAGGCAGAGTGGGGATGGCAGAGTTTGACGGCAAGGAGAGCCTGCCGCGGAGCTCGGGAAAACAATTCAATAAACACCCCGAGTGAGGGAGAGAGCCGGTGACAGAGAGACAGACAGACAGACAAAGACAGCAGTTAGGCACTGACAGCCAGAGAGGTGGGGAAGGAAGGGCTCCCGCGAGGGGGAGAAAAGTGCGAGCGCCCCGAGAGGGTCAGCAGTGGCCTGGGGCGGGGCTGGGGGGGGTGGGGGACGGGGCGGGGGGAGGGCGGAGGGGGGCGCGCGCGCGCGCGCGCTCCCGCGCCAGTGCCTCTGCGCCCCCTTGACTCCCACGCCAGGTGCAGACCGCGAGTTCCACAAACACAGCCCGACCTTCGAGGATTTGCAGACGCAAGAAGGCAGAGAGGGCAAGCATTTCACTCCGTGCTCTATTTGGCGGGGCGCCTCTCTCCCCACAGTCTGCCCCCCTTGCTAACCTGGAGAGTCGGTGGGGGGGGGGGGCGGAGGCGGTCCCCTGAGCGAGCGCCACACGGCAAGCGCCGGGGCTCCGTGAGATGCCCAGCAAGTGCGGTGGGCGCTGGGCCGGGTAGTTCAAGGCCCCGGGCACAGTGCCGCGCGGAGGGGGAATGAGCTGCGGTGGCCCTGGCTCCGGAGCCTGCCGGCGGCGGCTCAACCTGCGGGATTAATCCCTCCACGGGGAGGATCAGGGTCGTCGCTTGGCGCTTCCTCGAGGGGCAGGGGAAGCAGGGAACAGAAGAGCCTGGGGCGGTGGGGAGAGGGGCTGGCGACAAGGCCCTAGCTGAGGTGGAAGGGCAGCTGTGTGGACCGGAGGAGGAGGGTGAGGATGAAAACCTCGCCAGGCAGGTGCCACTGCCAGCTTTATTCAGGACCGTGGAGTTAAGTCCAAGAAAGGCTCCGAGTGGAGCCCTGGGACACCTGGGTCCCTGCTCTGCTTTCAGACGCTGGGCACTGTTGGGACTTCTTGGGACCCCAGATATCTGTGATGATCCCACTGTCCCCTCCTGCGCTAATCCTTTGGGGACTGGAGAGGACGTTTGGAAAATGGAGAAATGACGTCAGGAATGACAGACTAAGGGATGGAGTTGCAGAGATGAGGCAAGTTGAGACTTCTCTTACCCCTCCAAGGGCTCCTTGGGCTGAACCCAGGACACCAATGCTTAGGGCCTGGCAGGGGACCGCACCTCTCCCTGCCCCATCATTTGAATTGGAAGAAGAGAGTTGTGGTTGAGGAAGGAGACAGAGATTCCCCCAACTTCCCACTCATTCTCCAGCCCCCACCCCAGATGATCAAGCTGCCAGACCCTGCCTCCTGCCCTTTCCGTATGGGAAAACACAAAACCACCAAATCATTGCCTGAGGAACACTTTTCCCCCCAAAGAGCAAGGATGTTTTGATTAAACATCCACAGTTTCTCCAAACTAGTGAACCTCTCAATTGGAGCTTTGTCCCTGCCCCTCTGGTTAATTGACGGGTGGAAGGATGGATGGATCGTCTAATGGGTCTCTTTGGCCACTGCCGCAACTCGGAGCTCTGGCCTGAGAACGTCCAGCCCGCACTGGGGATAACGAAGGAGAGGTGGCCTAAAGCAACTGGAGAGCAATGGGGGTGGGGCTGGGCAGAGGTGCAGGGGTGCCAGGTGGGGAAGAGGGCTCCTCTCCTCAGATCAGGACTCGCCTGGCTCATGAGCCTGGAGGTCGTGTCTTGATTGCGCCCTGGGCTGCCTTTGCCGTATAGGTGTCCAAAGAGCCTAGAACCCCTGATCTAGAACTCCTAAGGCCCTGACCTGAGTCCGATGGGGAGGCAGAGGCTGCCTGACACCTTGAAGGCCAGATGGGGAGTGTGGAAAGATGGTGGGAAATGGGGAGTCAGTGAATAGAGATGAGAAGCGGGGAGGCAGGAAGTCTGACCAGGCCTACAGGCTGCCTTTGAGCCCCTTGACCGAGACTACCAGGGAGAGCCCCTGTCCCCCCACCCCCTAAGTCAGACACTGCATCCCTCACAGGACCCCCAGCTCACAGGAGATCTTTTGTGGTTCCCACATTTCAAGTGTTCCCTTCCCCCCTCTACAAGACTGGGGATTCCAAGAACCTTCTCTCCTGCCATTGCCATTGTGTTTAGAATAAAATCTGAACTGCTAAGAGCCTACAAGACCCACTATCCGTTGAGCCCTACATTTCCATCTCTGTCTAGGGTCCCAGTCCCTCCCCACCCTGCTCCAGGCTCTTTCCCCCAACTAGAATTTAAGCTCCCTGAGGGCCGGACCAGGCTGTCGGGTCCCCCTGTCAATGTGCAGTGCCTAGAATGGCCCAGCGTAACCACAGAGTAAACATCCGTTGACTAAATAAGCCTTACGGTTCTGTTTCTGCCAGCCCCCCACCCCCGGTGGGGCCTGGAACACACAAAAGGCCGCTCCCGTTACGGGCCTCTTATATCCTGCCCCAGCTCTGTCTACTCTACGTACTGTTTCCTTCTCTGCAGAGACCAGAATCGAGTGTCTCTGGGAGGATCGCGTACAGAGGCCACAAATTAGCCTGCAGCAAAAATAAAACGGTCCACTCGGCATGTCTGACCCAAATGGCCAGGATGTAGGGCTTGGCTGGGACGCACTGGGCCTCACCCGGCCAGCAAGCGCCCCATCCCTTCCTTCCCAAGACCCTGTCAGTGTATTCCTGCAAGATGGCGTAGGAAAAAGTCATTGGGGAAAGCGGTTTTTTTCAACATGGATAGCAGGATCGTCCCCTTTGGATGAGATGAACAGAAGCACTGGGGCCCTGCCTGGAAGAATTTGGTGGGGAAGAGTCTGGGGATGGGGGGAAGGGAGGAGGGGGTCTGCCTCTCCATGAGAACAGCCTGCACCTCTGGTCTGTTTGTTTTTCTGTCTGACTGTTTGTCGGATGGGGGGTTGGGGAGATAAGGATGTGGAAACAACCTTGAAATAACCTCCACTATTCCCTGAGGTGCTCCAGGGACTGGGCACTGTGGTCTGGCTTGTGTTGTGGCTGAGGAGGTGGGGTTATGGGCCCTTCTGGCCTGTGTCTGTCTGTCTGTCTGTCTGTCCCCTTGCACTGCGCTCTAGCCCTGTCCCCAGCCCCCGCTCACTCCCTAGTGTGCTCTGGGTGAGCTGGCCGTGGAGTTCAGCCCTCTCAGCTGATGCTAGCAGGAATAAATAATCCCGTGATTTGAGTTAGGAGGCAGGGCCCCAAGGAGGCATGGCAACTGCATAAATCCTGAAGATGTGGGGCCCCGGGTGGGCCCCACAGAGCAGCCAGGTCACTCCCTGGGAGTTACGACTCCTTAATTCGACACTTGCCTCCTCCTCCTCCGCCCTTCTCCCTGCCCCGTTGCATCCCACACAGAAGGCTGACTCCTGGACCCCTGCCACTGAGCCCCGGGGGGGGGGGGACCTGGGCCGTTCCTGCAGCGTGGGCTGGAGGCCCGTGGATGCCGAGACTCTCTCTCTCAGGCCCCATCTCCCCGCACTCCTCCCCTGGTCTCTCTTTCAAGCCTCCCTCCTTCCCCAGCCCCGCCCTACAAGGCATCCACAGCCCTGCAATGGAAGCAGTCTCTACCCGCCCCCCCCACCATTACGCTAGCACCTACCCCTTCCCACCACCAAGAGGCCTAGGCATCTACTGGGAGGCTCAAGATAATCCTAATCTCTATATCCAGACCTCTCCATGCCCCAAGATCTGGGAGAAAAGTGCAGAAGGAGGAACATTCGTCTTGAAGCCTACTCTGTTTTGGTTGCCCTCCTCTGGCCTTTCTCTGGACCTAGATTGGAGCTCCCACTCTGCCGCTGTGCCCAGCCCAGCTCTGGGACTTTGACCCGGAGCAAATGTTCTCCTCTGCCTGTGGCCTGGAATATCACCCAGCCAAGTTCCTGGGCAACTCGGTTGGGTGATGGCATCTCTTCAAACAATTGGCTGAGTTTTAAAAGAGGGGCTTTTTAACCCGATGAAGTCCTTGTCATTCAGTGGACATGTGAGTATGGGGAAATTTTCAAAGAGGGACTTTCTAACAGAGGCCCCCTTGCCCACTCGGAAGACCCCTTCAAACAGCAGCGTTCTGCCGATTGGCCCCTTAACTTTCCAAAGGCTGCTGGTGTCTGTCATCATCACCCCCAAGCCCCCAAAATAGTCGGTGTCGGAGTTTTTAAGTGTTTCAGAACTCAGAAAGGCTGGACCCCAAACCACCAAGCATAAAATCATTTTCCAGAGGCACCTGGGTGGCTCAGTCGGTTAAGTGTCTGACTTTGGCTCGGGTACAGTTTGTGAGTTCGAGCCCCGAGTCGGGCTCTGTGCTGACAGCTCAGAGCCTGGAGCCTGCTTCGGATTCTGTGTCTCTCTCTCCCCCTCCCCCACTTGTGTGCGGGTACGCTCTGTCTCTCAAAAATAAATACATAAACTTTAAAAAAAAAAATCATTTTCCAAACCCACTTTAACAGACCATGTCATCCATCCCAGCAGACATGAAGTATTTATTGAGCAACCAACCCGAAACGCTGGGCACCCACACCGAGATGAAAACCAGGATAGGTTTAGACAGTCTAGATCCCAGCTGGGTGGTTGACAGTCCACAGTCTGGGAAGTCATTAGAGCCCGTAAGTGAGATAGAGACACGGGTAAGAGAAGGGATGAGACAGGGACAGGGAAGGAGAAGAACAGAGTTAGAACCATCGCCCTTCTCTTGCGCTTGACCCCAGGTGGCAGATGCGTCCTCCCCAGATTGCCAGGTGGGTGGTACTCACTGGAACTTCTGGATTGGGCGCCAAGGTAGACCTTAGCGAAGGCAGACTTTAGGGAAGCTGACTGTTCTGCGGCGAGTGACTTGGGGGGTCTCGTTGACCCCTTCCTTCCTTCCTTCCTTCCTTCGCCAACAGGTATTTCCCAAAGCACAATTCCATGCTGACCAGAAAACTCCTAAGCCCCAGAGAGACGGAGGACGTTTCTATTCGTTTGGAAAGATTAAGCCAATGGTGGTGGACACAGACTGGCTGGGCTGCAGGAGCTCGGCAGAGGGAGGGTGCCCAGGCGCGGGTGGGGTGGGCCGTGAAGACAAGCTTCCGCAGGGAAGTGGTACTCCCATTGTCTTTCGAAGGATAGGTGGTATAGACTGATATAGCTGGTACAGACTGGCACAGTGGAGGGAGAAAACCTTTGGCACTCGGGAGGGAAAGGACAGGAGACAAGGAAGGAAAGCAAGACATTAAGTGAGGCAGGGGGGCAGTGAGAGGGGCTGCTGAGTTTCACGGGACAGTGAACGGACTGCTTCGGCTGGAGCGGAGTTGTTGGAAACGGGACTGGAGAGGCAAGTGAATGGAGACTTCGTGGGGATGACCTTGAGGCTGCGTTAGTCAGCCATCACCACAGAAATGATGCTTCGCAAATCACGGGAGCACTTCATGGTTTACAACAAGGCTTTGTTTTTCTTACTCGCAGCCTGTGGGTTGGGCTCAAGGCTACTCCACGTTCTCCTTGGGCCAGCGAGGCTATCGCTGGAGCTCAAACAGCACAAACGTTTTTCATCCTGTGCTCTGCTCGCATCCACGGACATGCCATTGGAAGTCAGGTGACCAAGCCGGCCACCAGCGCGGTGGGAACGTGGAGTCACGTGACACAGGGTGTGGGCGTAGAGTCCGATCACCAGGAGGAAAGAGTTGGGGCCGATGATCCAATCTGCCTCAGTGCTACACAAGTAGCCATTGAAATTTCTTATATACAGTTGAGCCTTGAACACAGGTTTGAACTGCACGGGTCCACATATATGCAGATGTTTTTCAATATGGTACAGTTCCGTGAACGTATTTTTTTCTTCCTTATGATTTGCTTAACATTTTCTCTTCCAGATGACTTGATTGTAAGAATACAGCATACAGGGCGCCTCTGTGGCTCGGTCAGTCAGCTAAGCATCTGACTCTTGATTTTGGCTCAGGTCACGATCTCACGGTTGGTGAGATCGAGCCCTGTGTCAGGCTCTGGACTGACCGTGTGGAGCCTGCTTGGGATCCTCTGTCTCCCTCTCTCTCTCTCTCTCTCTCTCTGCCCTTCCCCCACTCATACTGTCTTTCTCTGTGTTTCTCTCTCTAAATAAGTAAATAAACATTAAAAAAAGAATACAGTCTACAATACACATACAGAATACATGTTAATTGACTGCTTATGTTACTGGTTGGATTCTGGTAACAGCAGGCTATCAGTAATAAAGTTTTCGGGCAGTCAAAAGTTATACCCAGATTGTCAACTGTGCAGGAGTCAGGCCCGCATTGGTCAGGGTCACCTGTGGCTGAGCGGTATGAGCAGTACCCTAAGGTTGCTGAATTCTTGTTTCCAGAAGTTCTTTCCCTGCTGCTAGCTCATTTGCATTTCCCCAACAATCCTCTGAAGGAGGTGTTGTTAGCCCCTCTTTCAGATGATAAAAGAGGACTCTGAGAAGTGATGTGGCTCAACTAAATGACACAGCTGGGAGAGGATGAGCCACGACTTAAACGGGGCATCCCGGGCTCCAGGTCCAGAGCTACGCGCTGTCCCCAACGGCTGCTGTGGCAACACGGATCCGCCCCCGTGTGCAGGGTGGGAGAAAGCCGAGGGGTCCGTGGATGGCTGACATCGAGAAGCACTCCTCGAGCTGGGCTGGTGGCAGAGGAAGGGAGACAAAGGCTGAAGTCTTTTATGTGTTCGTACATTTTCTTCCTTTTTCGAGGTGTCACTTTCCCAGAGTAGGAAATACACAGATCCGAAGAGTACAGTTGAGGAGTTTTGTCAAACGTATCTGTGTTGTCAACGCCCAGACCAAGGTAGAGAGCCTTTCCATAATCCCAGAAGGTTGTTCTCGTGCCCCCTGCCAGGCCACCCTCCCTCATCACCGTAGATCGGTTTTGCCCGTCTTTGTGCTTGATATACACGCAGTCACACAATTATGTTCTCCGTTACGTCTGGCCTAGTTCACTCGGCGTAATGTCTTGGGGATTCATCCCTGTGGTTGCATGTAGCACTAGTGTGCTTATTTTTATTGTAATGCACATTCCATTGTAGGCATTAACCATAATTTAATCCATTTTCCTGTTTCCAGACATTTGGGGTTGTTTCCAGCACTTTGGCTATTACAGCGCTGCTATTCACATTCGAGGACAAGTCTTTTTTGTGAATGTAGGTTCTCACTTCTCCTCGGGTACATCCCTGGGGGTAGAATTGCTGGGTCCTGGGTGGGTGTCTATCCAGCTTTATCAGAGAGACTGCCGAGCAGTTTTCCAAAGTACTTTTACTACCATACACACCATTAACAAGATGAGAGAGTTCCAGGTCCTCTCTGTCCTTGCCAGCATTTGGTGTGATTGGTCTTTTTCACTTTAGCCAGGAGGAGGTAGGATGTGAGGAGGTATCTCGCTGTCGGAAGGTCCACTGTCAAGGCCAGTTCTCATCTCCCTGGGACTGCCTTGGATCTCCGGGGGGGGGGGGGGGGAGGGGGGCGATCCCTAGGCTTCTTTGACCAGAAATTCCATCAGTGGGCTGCGGGCCGGGTTCTGCTAAGGGGAGGCACTGGCAGGAGACTGGAAGGCAGGTGGAAGAGGAAAACCAGAGTACGTCTACCCCCTGTGTTGCCTCCAGCCACATCTCCTCCATGGCCCCATCTCCTGGCCTTACAGACCCACTCTGGTTGCAGCTTCGGCTGGGTGACAACCACCCCCCACCCCCGCCCCGGGTTCCCAAAACAGCACTTCTTCCTTTTGTCTCTCTAGCCTAGGAGCGCTAGCGGCTCCTGCCAAACTGTTTCACCAATACCTTTTGGCTTTTCAGCTCTCCCATTGTCTGTGCAACCATTTCCTGCCTCTGGGATCTTATATTCACTGTTCCTTCTACTTAGAATGCTCCACCCCCCCCCCCCACATCTACATGGCTCTTTGCTCGGATGTCACCTTCTCAATAATGCCTTCCTCCCCTGACCATCCAGCTTACAATTAACACTCGCAGTCACTCTGTCCTGCCTTATTTTGCTCCACAACAATTATCATCTTCCTTCACACTTGGTGCATTTTATTTATTTATGTTCGCATCGCCTTTCTCCATGAGAGTGGCATTTGCTGTCCGTTTTGTCCGCTGTGGATCCCCAGTGACCAGTAGCCAGCACAGGGTAGGCAACCAGACATCTGTTGAGTGAATAAATGTGGGTAGAAAAAGCAAAAAGTCCCAAGCTTCTGAATCGGGACACTGGAGTTAGGGTTTCCCCGGGCATCTCTAAATCCCATAGAATCCCGGTTGAAAGGGGCCAGGGGAGGACTGGGCTTCATCGCTCCGTCCCCCTGTCCCCTTTTCCTCATGGCCCAGCCACTTCCCTGGGAAGAGGTGGGCCAAGCAAATTTCAGGAACTCCCACATTGAGAGCTCTGCCCTGGCCCCTTCACAGAGGCCCAGAGGGCTGCTTCTGAATTTGGCTGACAAAAGACACATTTGGACACAAAAGCCCCTCTTGATTAAAGTAGGTCTTTCATTGGGAGTGGATGGGGTCGAAGGTCAAGATGGTGCTAGCCCATATTTTTAAAATGAATCTTGACCCCTACCTTACAGCATACACGCAAATCAACTCCAGCTGGATTGCAGATACACATGTGAGAGATATGACAATAAAGCTTCTAGAAGAAAGCAGAATGTCTTCATAACTTTGGGACAGGCAAAGATTTCTGTAAAAGAGACCCCAAAAAGCACTTTATTGCGAAAGACAAACATTGACAAACGGTCCAGCATTAAAATTAAGAACGTCTGTTCGTCAAAAGACACTTTGAAGGGAGTGAAGGGAAGCCACGGGGTGGGAAAGGGTATTCGTAGAACGTCTACCCACCAAAAGACTCATATCCAGGAGATTATATTGCCTACAAATCAATAAGAAAAAGATGGAAAACAATAGAAAAATGAGAAGACTTGAATAAGCATTTCACAAAAAGAGGATATCCAGCGGTGCCTGGCTGGCTCAAGGGGCAGAGCATGTGACCCTTGATCTCAGGGTCATGAGTTCAAGTCCCACATTGGGCATAGAGTCCACTTAAAAATAATAATAATTATAAAAAGGAGAAGGATGGGGCGCTTGGGTGGCTCAGTCGGTTGAGCATCCGACTTCGGCTCAGGTCGTGATCTCGCGGTCCATGGGTCCGAGCCCCACGTCGGGCTCTGTGCTGACAGCTCAGAGCCTGGAGCCTGTTTCCGATCCTGTGTGTCCTTCTGTCTCTGACCCTCCCCCGTTCATGCTCTGTCTCTCTCTGTCTCAAAAATAAATAAATGTTAAAAAATTTTTTTTAAAAAAGGAGAAGGTGAAGCAGACAGAGACAGAGGAGGAGGAGGAGAAGGAGAAGAAGACAAAATTGTTTTAAAAAGAGGATATCCAAATAAGTAATAAATATAAGAAACAGGGTTCAATTCATTAGTCATCAGAGAAACACAAAAACTGAAAACCACAATCTGATACCACCCTACATCCAGCAAAGTGCGCTGGATGGGAATAGAAGTTGGCTCAACAATTATCGAGAACTTCCTGGCGTTATCTAATGAAACCGAACACACGCATACCCCACGACCCAGAAATTCTACTCACCAGCGAATATTCATGGCAACATATGTAGCGGCCAAAATCTGGAAGACTCAGCAGTAGAACGCAGAAGTAAACTGAGGTGTATTCGCACAACGGACCATCACAAAGTAATGAGAGACGGCGTGCTATTGCTACCCACGATGACTGTAAGTGAATCTTGAGCGAGAGAGGCCAGGCACAAAAAGCATACATCCTGACCTGACTTCGCTTACATGAAGTTCAAATGCAGGCTAAAACAAATCTATCGTATTAGAAACTAGTGTGCGCAGCGCCTGACAAGGGACACAATGAAATATTCCAAGGTGGTAGTACCTGTCCCGATTCTTCATCTGAGTGCTGGTGACCTGGCTGTGTTCAGTTTGCAAAAGTCCATCAAAGCAGGAAGCTTACAATTTATGCACATGTGTATATGTATATTACACATCAGTAAAAAATACTATGTTTAATAGAAGTGTTAGACACTGGGGAGAACAGAGCAGTGGAAGCAGCGACCCAGAGTGGGAGGGTGGCCAGGGTAGGGGCTGGGGAGTGGGCTTCTGCACTTGCCTGTCTTAGAAAGCCTGGTCCCTTCTCCTCTGGCCCTGCGGCTTCCCCTCGGGTCGGGGGGGCTGAGATGTCAGTGTCACTATGGGAAACACAGGAGGGCAGGCAAGGAACGTGGGTAGGGAGGCAGCAGCCCTGGAACACAGCCCACCTCACCTCTGAGCCTCAGGAAAATAAGGGGGATGCTACCCCTGTTGGTTGCAAAGAGCACAGGTCAGTGAACCGGGCCACTGGCGAGAGCCGCCCCAACAGAGGCCGTGGTGGAGCCCTGTCACGTGATCCTCTGCTCGCAGGTATCCAAACAGCAGGAAAAGAGAGAGACCCGATTTAAACCTGGAGGTGAGAGAGCACCGCGAAGGAGCTGAGATGGAGGGCATCATCGGACATCCGTGCGCCGTTCCCCATCAGCCAGGGTACCTCTCATGGCCCGAGCGTCTCATTGCACTGATGAGAATTCTCTTGAACAACAGACTAATTTTTCAATAAGCAAGGCCCCCGCACAGAAGCCAGCTGCCTCGTCTGGTCTCAGCTGCAGACGCCATGAGGTATTCCAGGATGGAGTGGAGGAACCGGTCTCTGGAAAGCCTCCGCGTAGTGCGGTCTGCCCCCTCCATGGTCGGGCCTTCTTTGTCCCCCGGCGCCCGGCCCCCCCCCCCACCACACTCCCAGCATCGTCCTGTCTGCAAAACCCAGGTGTCCCCCTGCCCTTCAGCCTGGAATGTTCTCCTTCACCTCCCTCCAGCGAGACACTCATTTCCTCCCTGACTCACTCCCCTTCCATCTTCTGGAAGCCCCGCCTCCATGCCTGTGCTCCGCCCCCTAGACGGGGAGCTTCGTGGGGAGCAGGCTGTGTGTTTTGTTCACCTTGGTGTCTCCTGGGCGCCCAGCACGTAGGAAGGGAACAATACATGTTCTCCGAAGGAAGGGAAGGAGGAACCTTCCTGTAACTGGAGTCGGATTGTAAGGGATCCGCGGGGCTCGGTCGCATGAAGACAGTAAGCTCCTGAATCAGGAATAGTTGTTAACAGAGGATAAATACCTTGGCCCCAAGGACCGATGTTGGCATTGATCGTGGACTGATGAGGGAAAATGTGGTTCAGCTGCGCCCGCGGTGCACAGATGCCTCCACCTGAGACCAGTGTACACATCCATCATGTCACCACGGCCATGGCCCGTAGTGTACCAGACGCTGTGCTAGGCGTGTCGTCCTGTTAATCCTGACGCCCCCACGAGGCGGCTACTATCACCAGCCCCATTTTACAGAGAAGGAAGCTGAGGCACCAAAAGAAAAAGCGATGTGTCCCAGGGACACGGAACTGTTAAGCCGCAAGGGACGTAAACTGGGGCTGGCCGACCCCCGAGCCCTTGTGCCAAGCACCCAGCTCACCGTCTCTCAGTGTCGCAGACCCATCCGGCCATCCTCACGGAGAGGCCTCCGCAGGGTGACTTAGGAGGTCAGGGTCCCCAGGTTTCATTTAACGTGAAAGCGCTAAGTTGAGGGTAAAGCGCCGGGGGAGGTGGGCGAGGGCCGTAGCCCCGTGTGTACGTGCCTGTGCGTGAGCGCGTGTGCGGGCATGTGGGTGGGTGTGCGTTGTGGGCATGTGCATACACGCGTGCACGGGTCTGTGTGTGGATGCCTGCGTGTGCCAGCGGCCGAAGGGAGGGGTCTGCCAATTAGGAGAAGGTGATCGATGTGAAACTTCCTCACACGGTCAGCGCACAGTAAATATTTGCAGAATTGAATTGAAATGCTAAAGAGAGTACTCTACAAATGTGCGGTGTTATTATTACTATTATCTCCAAATTGCAGGCCTCAGGAAGAGAGAGGGGCAGGTAGAGAGGTGGTGACAGGGTCAGTTAGCTACCTGTCACCTCCAAACCGCGGTGCACGGACCCCCTTCCGTGGACTCTCTCCGAGTGATTTTTCCCCCTGAGCCGACTGAGGCAGGGATCTTGCAACCTGCGAGGACAGCAGTGACAGTGACAGCCATAACTAACACGCAAGCAGCCCTCTGTATGGCCCGGCCTCGCCCCTCTCTGCTCTCACTGTATTCCCAATGCACAGAGGGTGAAACTGAGGCTCAGAGGGGTTGACCAGAAGAACGTGTTCGTGGCTCTTGAGAACCACTAGAGAACAGGGCTGTACCTGTCCACCATCTACACCTCCAGTCCTCCTGTACAGCAGGAGCACATAATGGGGTAACAGGTGGTGAGGGGCGTGCAACGGGCTGAGAAATGGAGAACGCGAGACCCGAGCTGGGCACTTCCTCTCCCACTGCCTCAGTTTCCTCGCTGCAGAGTGGGGTCGAATCGCCGCCGCAGCAGAGAGCAGCTATGGTAAGAGAATAATACCCTCAACTGCCTAGTAAGCCGTGAGCGTGCAAATACGCAAGCTGTCACTGTAAACGTCCTGAGGGCTCACTGGAATCTGATTTTCACTTCTTCTCCCACCAGGGAGTGACGTCGGACTCGGAGGACTGGTGCAAGTTCAGGAATTATCTAGTCCAGCCCCCTCTGGGAACCGGTAAGAAAAATGAGACCCAAAGGACAGCACCAAGGTCACATGGCTGGTAAGTGGCAGGGCCTGGATTGAAACACAGTTTTGGGGCTCCCGGGCAGGGCCTCTCTGCCCCTCCAGGCTGCTTCTGATGGGGACTCTGGCTGCCATCATGGGCCCAGCCTGGGGACGCAGGGGGCCCAGGGGAGGCGAAGAGGGGGAGCAAAGGCCCAGCCTCCAGAGAAGGGGTGGCAGCAAAGCCTGGGGGGAGCTCTTGGGAGACAGCCTGTCATTCATTAAGCCTGTCAACCCTCCTAGACTCGTGGGGAAAGTCCCCTGTCTTCTCCCGGCTCACCAACCCCAGCGGTCTTGCGGTCTCCTACGATCTGAGCCACTGACCAGGACACCAGGGGAGAGATCTGGAAGGCCATGCTGGCCCCCAGCGCTCTTCCCTGCCCCGACCACCCCTTTCGAAGGCCTGTGCCCTCCTCCTCATCGCCAGCGGTCCCTCCTGACGGCCGCCACGTAAACCAAGAGCCTACAAAACACCCGTGTCAACGTGCCTCCTCCCTGGAGGTCCAAGGCCTTAAAACTTAATAGTCTCTCAAATGCCGTAACGCTAGAGGGGGCTTTTATGGACTCAACAGGGATAACATTATGAAGGGCTTTAGCAGCCTACAGTGGGCCACCTGCCCCCAGCCCCTCACACACACTTCAGGGACCTCTGAGAAGCCCCTCCTCCATGAGGGCCATAGCCCCCCACTCCTAGTCCCCAGCCAGCCGGCTCCTCTGCGTTCTGACAAGGTTATTAGGAATAGTTCACTGCAAACAGGGGCCTGGTGGGAGGTTGGGACCCCGCTGGCCCTGGCTCGATTGAAGCTAGACGAGTTGTGTGTGTGTATGTGGGGGGGGGGGTGCTGGTCCAAGGGAAATATCTTGGTGACTAATGAGCGGGCAATTGAAAGCTCCTTCGTGTCAATGGAGAGCAGATGGGGAAGGAGGGGAGTTGCTGAGGCCTGGCCTCAGAGGTGTGGGTGGCTGGGAGGGAGGGGGAGAGGGGGCGAAGCCTGTGGGGTCAGCAGGTGGGGGATGGGGGTAGGGAAGGGAGGCCCGGCCTGCTGTCACCCAGGGAGCAACACAGCTCCGGGGGCCCAGATCCAGGGACTCTGGCAACAGCAAGAGTTAGCAGCGTGGCCACGGTGTGTCGTGGGCCAATCGGCTTTTTTTCTTCTCTACCAAGGGCCCTACTTTTCTACTCGCCGCCCCCCCCCTTCCTTTTCTTGTCCGCTCAGTGTCTCCTCGTCCGGCCTTGCCCTGCCCTCTTCCTCCACCCCTTCTTCCTCCCTGTTTCCCCTCCTCCAGGCCCCTTGCTCTGACTCCTGGGAGACCACAAATGGTGGTCAGTCTTCAGTAGGAGTGGGCAGCCCCCGCCCAGTAAATAAAATACTAAATAACGCTAAACAAAATACCCTGGCTGACTTGCCCACAGACACACACTTATCCCAGGCACACATGCGTGCACACGCGCGCGCGCGCGCACACACACACACACACAGAGGCACACTCACACATATTTTCTTCATTACCTCCTCTAATACTGTCTTTCTTCCATCTTGAGTTCAATGTTGTTTTTTGTGTCTTTTCGACCCTCCCCCTCCACTTCCCCTCAATTTATTCCAGCTGTGAAAACCTTTTTCCCATCTCCTCTGTCACCCCGGCAGATAGGTGAGTGGCAGGCAGAGGAGTCCACTGCGCAGCCACCGTTGGTAATCGATGCCAGATGTGGAGCTGGCCCCCAGCCCAGCCCCAGGCAGGGCTCCCGCGCCCGGCTCCTGCATCTGGTGTGAAAGGCGAGCTGCGGCCCCGGGCCCGGGTCTTGGTGGGCTCAGGGGACGCGGTTGGAGGGGGGTGCTGGGCCCAGGGGCCCCCAGGAGGGAGCAGGCCAGGGTGCAGAGGATAGGATGTGGGAGCCCCTTGGAGGAAGAAGGTGGCCACCCAGCAGGCTGGCCGGGGTATGAGGCTGGGATGTGAGAAGCTGAGACAGCCCAGAGACAAGACGGGGAGAGCCGGCTTCCCTTGGCCCCTTGTCAGCCATTTCACTCCCTGGGGGAAAAGGTTTGGGGCCGCTGTTGTTTACAAACGTCTGTATTTGGGAAAATAGAAAATGCCAATTAAACATGCTAGAACCCTCCACGATCATTCTACCATTCACGGTACAGAAAAAAGCTAACATTTGCGGAGTATTTTCAGTGCTTTCTGAGCCATTGCACATGAATTCACTCATTCTCTTGTTTCGTTTTCACCACAGTCACAGGAGGTAGGGACCATGATTGGCCCCATTTTACAGATGCAGCGAAAGAGGCCTAGAGCATCTAAATGGCCCGCCTAGAAAGCGGTGGTAGCAAGACTTGAGCCCAGACAGTCTGGCTCCAGAGGTGCCTGTTAGGCTCTCAGGAAAAGACTTTAAAATATGAAAAGGTCGGAGCTAGAAGGAACCTGGTGCACACCCTCATCCTAAGGAAGGAATGGACGTCCAGGGAGGAGAGGCGACTTGCCCAAGGGCACACACAGTGAGTCGAATCCAAAGCAGGGCTGAATCCCAGAGCTCCTGGTACCTGTTCAGACCCCCTCATACAACACCACCATTCTGACTCAGACTGCAGACCCTTAGCCAACAGCCAGACTTCCTGGAGGAGGTGACTTCTGTAGGGCTTAGGTCGAGATGAGAACCAGAGACTGACAGAGAGGCAGGACACAGCACCTTCAGTGGAAAGCTTTCTTCCAAAGACCAGCGTGTGGGGAGGGCAACACCAAGGTGGGGCTGGCAGACAGCATTAATTGTATTTCTACTGCCAGGCACTGGAGGTTACAAAAGAGACTTAGAGCCAAACTCTGCCCTCAAAAATTTTTAAAAACAAAAG